AAAGAAAGAAAGAAAGAAAGAAAGAAAGAAAGAAAGAAAGAAAGAAAGAAAGAGAGAAAGAAAAAGAAAACACTCTCTATGTCCCACAAAACAGGAGGGGTTTTCCATAATTCAGAGTCCAGGCACCTTTCTTGGTCTCTACTTCCTACTGAGGAAGAGTCTGAATGCTGAGGTGAAGGAACACAACCAGAGCACGCAATGTCCTGATCCTTTCTTGAAGCTGACAGCAAAAAATGGGAGTTGTCTCTTCCCCTAGGCTGTGAGGCAGGACCATGGGGCACATCCCTTGTGAGACTGCTGTGGATCCCTGCCCTGGAGGAGGGTCCTGTGCAGTGTCTGGCCAATCCACAGGGTTTACATTGAGACTGAGGGATGTCTGCTTTGGATGTCAGAGATGGGAAATTCTGGACAATTAGGCCACGTAAGGAACTCTCTTTTGACACCCATCCTTCAACTTGACAGCTGTTTTTTTCAGCACTTCAAATGTGTCAGGTGGGCCCAGTCCACTGTGGGTGGAGCCAAGCACTGAGAGTGCAGCAGTGAGATGGCACAGAAATGCCCTAGGCGCCGGGTGAGTCTTCTGACCTGATATAGACCGAGGCCTCCTTACAGCACTGTGGACGGAGCCCAAAATCTATGGCTTAGCTGGCATCTTCCATGGCATAAAACATGGTGAAATGTCAGGGCCTGGAACTTTCCTCCCAGAACAAGCTTTGGAGGCACATCTCCATCAGAATAACCACCAAAATGAGCCATAGTCTCTAGTTTATTGAGGCAGCAGAAGGCCGTTTATCTGGAAGGTTAGATGAGCCTCATTAGGTGACCCTCATGCCCCTTAACTGATGGGTTGTAGGACTTATAAGACGGAGATCTGTGGAGGGGAACTGTGGCATTGGAGTGACAGGCTGGAAGTGTGTCTCAGTGTAGTAAAACAGAAGGGGCTCAGGAGTTTGTGTAGCACAGAAGCCTTGGAAAACATGGAAGCTGTCCTTCAATGTCTGAAGAAACAGTCTGAGGCGGAGAGCCAGTTTGGAGCAGTTGTGACGGGACAGAGTTTGGCTTCATAAAGGTCAGTGCTGTCTGCAGCTGGGCTGATTCATATGTTTGGCAAACATTCATGGCAAGTTGCGCACACAACATTAGGCCTGTCTGGACAGTCACGTCCTGCTCTCAAGTTCCAAATAGTCTGGAGGTTGCAAGGGAGGTAGTAAATAGTCCTCACTGGAGTGATGAAACAGAGGCCAGACAGGTACATGTCATGAGGGCAGCCTGGGCAATGGGAACAGTTACAGGCTCAGACTAGGAAGGGTTGGGCCAGAGGCCTAGAAGGAGCTTTCCTACTCCTCTAGCAGAGCCAGTGTTTGGTTGTGGAATGGGACGGTTTGCTGTTACAGTGATGTGGAGGCTGACCAGGAATGTCCAAGAGGAGGGGTTGGATTGGGATGAGGTGCCAGCAGAGCCCAGTTGAGTCCCAGCAGAGCCTGAGCTTGAGTCCCCAAACTTCATCAGTGCTGAGACCTTGAAGGCCCAGGCAGAACACAGTTGATCAGAAATGACTGTGCAAGGAGCTGAGGGTGACTCAGTGGGTAGAGTACTTACAGGTGTAGGGACATGCCTTCAGATCCCCAGAACCCACATAAAGCTGGACACAGCTGCACACACTGGCAATCCCAGCGCTTCCATGGCAAGATGGGAGTGGGGACAGGAATGTCCAGAAGCTCATGGGCAAGCTAGCCCAGCTCATACAACTGGGAGCAAGAAGAGGCCTGCCTCAAGGAAGGTGGAAGGTGAAGACAAAAATCTGGGGTTCCTTGATGACTTCTACTTGTGTTTTATGGCATGTTTCTGCACTCAAATACATAAACATTCACAAAGAAAAGAGGCAGTTCTCCTCCAAAGAGCCTGTACACATATTTGGGTATGTCTCTTTTTCCCTAACCCTGTAGTTAAGCCTGTTCTAAAATATATTTTTTAAGTACAACACAATCCTTAATAAAAATGACGATTGAGGTAGGAAATGTTCAGACCTTAGAAACCAGAGTCAAGGCCCTGAGAGCCAGATGCTAAAGGGGTTTCTCTGGACCCCTCTAGTGAGTTAAGTTGGCCTTGGTTTGGTGGTGACCTCACTGTCTCTCTTGCTCCTGCTACTCCTCTTTCTGTCTCAGGGTCTCCAGGATGAATGTCAGTACCTCCTTCAGCCACAGCTGATTGTCCGACGTCTGCTGGATGTGGCTGTACTGGTTCCTGGCCGTCCCTCAGAGCAAACCCTCTCCCCCCACAATCGCTCAGCTTTGTACAAGTGAGTAATCACGCCAGATCTGGCCCTTTCCCTTTCTTCCTCTGAACTTACACAGGCACATGCTTGCTTTTCCTCTAGCCAAAGTAACCCAGAATCCCCAGGCTGGTCCCATCCCAGTGTCCTCTGCCCCAGCACAGAAAGGAAGACCTGGCCAGGCTACCTGTTCCCGTATTCTTTGCCCCTATCCATTCCCTTTCTTCCTCTTGTTTCCCTTCTCTTGTGTCTCTTACCTCTCTGTCTGTTCTTGCTCCCAACCTGTCCTCTGTCCAGGGTCTTTGTGCCAAGCTTCACTTACAGGGTTTCCGCACAGCTGGTGTGTGTAGGGGGCCGAGGAGCCTCTGTCTGCCCTCTGACCCTGCGCCTACGTCCCAAGGCCCCACCCCTACACAACTCAAGCTCTGTAGCCTGTGGAGGTGCCTCAGGATGCCAGCTGGAGTTGGCCCTGCCCCCGTGGGGGCACTGGGTCTATGTGCGTGTGGAGACACCATCCCGTGGCCCTGGCAGGACCATCCGTTTCCAGCTGTGTGTACGGTTACAAGGTCAGAACCTCATCTGCCTCACCTCCCCGACCTTTGCGGTAATCCATGGCCGGGGTAATCCAGATGGCTGTGTTCTGTGACCTTCAGCCACATTCGTACAGTTTCCCCAGCTCCGCCCAGCTGCTACCACACTCCCAAGGTCCCACCTCCTTGGAGCTTCAGGTCATGGGGCTGCCTTCAGAGTGTGTCTTTGTCCCTGGCTTGGGATAACTAAAGGCTCTCATTATTTTTCTTGTCTTAATCTCATTTTCAGTTTCCTGGGGTGGACAGGGACAGCCAGGACTTCTGGAAATGCCCTGCCACAACACTGCAAATCATTAGGACAGCAAGTCACATTAGCTCACCTTATGGTGTTTTCACATGATCTTATTAGTTCCTTGTAGTATGACCTTGGGGAGGGACAGATGACCTTCACACCCTCCATCGAGGCAGCTGAGTAACAGTTACAACTAGGAGACATCTGGACCCTGTCCTGAGACCCTAGACGCCTCCTTTCCCCATCATATTCTAGTTTACCGCCCGCCTCCCTTCGCCAAGTCCTGTCGAGCTCAGTTCTAGGGCTGTGCAGGCCACATGTTTCATCTTTGGTTTCCTCTCTTTCAGAGTGTCCACAACCCAGCCTGTCCCGTGCCTTGGTCCCTGGGGCTGCCATGAACATGCCCCAGTCACTGGGCAACCAGCCACTGCCCCCGGAGTCACCACCCCCTGGGTCTCCTGTAGAAGGGTCTGGAGCCGCATTGCCACCTGAGCACTGCTGGCCAGTGCGCCCGACTCTACGCAATGAGCTGGACACCTTCTCTGTCCACTTCTACATCTTTTTCGGTCCCAGTGTGGCCCTCCCCCCTGAGCGCCCGGCTGTGTTCGCCCTGAGGCTGTTGCCAGTGCTGGACAGTGGAGGTGTCCTTAGTCTGGAGCTGCAGCTCAACGTGGTACTTCCTGGAAAGGGGCAGTTGCCTGTGGGGAGTCTGAAGGGGAAACTGTAGGAGTATAGGGGCCCTTGTCGCCTTCAGGAATTCTTTCCTGGTTGCTTCTATGCATCCCTCCCATTTTCAGCACAGTTCTGGTCAGCAGGTGTGTCCTGGGCACTTGGTGCACTGTGAAAGCTGCATCACCAGGACTTAGAGATGCCTGGTTGTTGGCTGGCCTCCTGATGGAAGGGTGATCTCAGTGGGTGTTGACTTCTGTAGTGGGGAGATACCTCTCGAGGCCATGCAGCCCGTGTTTAGACAGCTCCTGTAGCCACGGTGTTCCTGATGGTCTGTCATGAACTCTGCCCACCGACTGAGCTTTCTTTTGTTTAGAAGCTGCTTCTAGTAAATCCAGGTGTGCCCTTGTTTTTAATAAATTGTTTCAGAGTCTTTTGAGATGTATAGAAAAATCAGCAGTAAGTAAGTGCTTAGGTCTGAGAAGCTGGCTCAGTGGACACAGTGCTCACCCTCCAAGCCCAAGGACCTGAAGTGGTCTATAATCTCAGCACTGAGGAGGTGGAGACAGGGCGCTTCCTGGACTAGCCTGGCCTCCTTGGTGAATTTCAGGTCAAATGAGAGGCCGTGTTTAACAAACCAGATGGATAGCATTTGAGGAATGATACTAACATTGACCTCTGGCCTCCACATTCTCATACACGTACCTGTACATACACACACACACACACACACACACACACACACACACACACACACACAGAGTACATTCTCCCCATTTGTCTCCTTTCTCCATGCAGTTTTCCTCATTACTAACGTATTACCTTTATGGTGTGCATTGGTTACAACCCTATCCTATTTTACAGCTGTTCAGATATTTCCCGCCACTCTCCCAATAGCGGAAACCACCTCAGTCTTCAGGCCCTTGTGTTTAGACTTCTCTCCAACTGACACTCATTTCTCTGCTTATACTTTGACTGCTCATCATGTCTCTGAAACTGATGATGTGAACTACTTTTACCATTGTGGCCGGCCTGTCTGTAATCTGTCTGTCTGTCTCTCTGCCTGTCTGTCTGTCTATCTATCTATCTATCTATCTATCATCTATCTATCTATCTAGTCTATCATCTATCTAGTCTCTATCATCTATCTATCTATATCTATCTATCTATCTATCTATCTATCTATCTATCTATCTATCTATCTATCTATCATGTTTCTATCTGTCATCTATCATCTTTCTTTCTCCTTCCTTCCTTCCTTCCTTCCTTCCTTCCTTCCTTCCTTCCTTCCTTCCTTCTCTCTCTCTCTCTCACTCACTCTCTCTCTGTGTATCCCTGATGGCCTGGAATTTGCTATATAGACTGTTTCAAACTCACAAAAATCTGCCCCTTCTGCCTCCTAAGCCTGTGCCTAAAGGTGTATAGCCACATCCGGCCAAAGCCTTTCATTCATCATCTGGAGAACAAGTTTGTCTTAAGGTTGTTGTGCCACACTGAGCTCTGGGGAACGTGTGGAAGAAGACCCTGGTCTTCTTCTATTCTTTTCTTCCAACTATTTTGTTTTTTCCCCTGGATCTAGGCCTGCACACCTCGAGACTGCCTTTGGCTGTTGCTGTAATAATTTCTACTAAGTAGCTCTTCGTTACATTGCCCTCCCCAGCCTGGTGGAGGAAGTGATAAAGTAGTTACATGGGTCTCACTCTGTGGCTGACAGGGTGCACATGGCAGTGTTTGGTGAGAGTTTAGCTGAAGAAGGGCACTTGACACAATTCCAGTGCAAAGAGGCAAAAGGATTACATAGTGAATTGGCTACATAGTGAATTCCAGGTCAGGCCAGCCTGGGTTACATGAAGTGCTATCTCAGAAATACCAAAAAAAAAAAAAAAAAAAAAAAAAAAAAAAGGAGGAGGAATTTAGCTGATGTTCCCTGCCCCCTCCACACAGATCCCGCTTCCTTGAAGACTAGTGAGCAGAGATGTGCTCACAAATGTGGAAACTCAGCAAGATTCTTTCCTTAGTTTGGTTATTCAGAAGTCATCAGATACATAACTAAGTCTAGGGACAGATACTTTTCTATCCTGATTTTAAACTTTCTCATGCATTTATTTTATTCTGATTTAATGTATCAAGCTGCCCCCAAATCCTTTCTGAATGAGAGGAGCTTACGGTATCTTATTTCCCATTTCTCCCTGGTGGGCAACCCTTACGTTAACACTTGGGGCATCGCTTTCCTTTAATTCCAATCAGATTGCTACATTTAATCTCTCTGGCCTTCAGTCACCTCCATTCCGTACTTGGGCCATTTCACCGTCCGTCCTTCCTTCCTTCCTTCCTTCCTTTCTCCTTCCTTCCTTCCTTCCTTCCTTCCTTCCTTCCTTCCTTCCTTCCTTCCTTCCTTTCTCCTTCCTTCCTTCCTTCCTTCCTTTCTCCTTCCTTCCTTTCTCCTTCCTTCCTTCCTTCCTTCCTTCCTTTCTTTCTCCTTCCTTCCTTCCTTCCTTCCTCCTTCCTTCCTTCCTTCCTTCCTTTCTCCTTCCTTCCTTCCTTCCTTCCTTTCTCCTTCCTTCCTTCCTTCCTTTCTTTCTCCTTCCTTCCTTCCTTCCTTCCTTCCTTCCTTCCTTCCTTTCTCCTTCCTTCCTTCCTTTCTCCTTCCTTCCTTCCTTTCTTTCTTTCTTTCTTTCTTTCTTTCTTTCTTTCTTTCTTTCTTTCTTCCTCTCTTTCTCTTTCTTTTTCCTTTCTCTGATTTATTTTAGTTATATGTGTGTGTTGCTTGCACATAGGTCTGTGCACATAGGCCAGGTGCCTGAGGAAGTGGTTGAGCCTCTTGTGAATTCTGGAAATTGAATCTGAGTCCTCAAGAACAAGTGCTCTTAACCTCTGAGCCAACTCTCCAGCCCTGGAGTGAGACTTTTCTTAACAAGCCTCTTACCTTCAGCCCCAGGGCTGGGTGACTGAGAACCTTAAATTTCCTTTATCTATAGCTAGTTTCTATATATGACACCAAGTGCCCAATTTCTCCCATAAACTAGATAGGATGAACCAAGCTGCCTTCTCTACCAAAAGGAAAATTCAGAGTCAGGTCTGTCTCTCTCGTTAGGCTTTGAAAAGAGTCTGGCTATGAGGATGAGAGGTTTTCATACCCCTACTAAGAACACAGCTTGGATGGGTTGATCCCTGGAGGGGTGGGCCTCCCCGGAGGAGAACTGGGCTGTTCAGCCACAAGGAAGGGAGAATTGACGTCCTGGGGAGCGGTGACAGGCCCACCGAAAGGTCTGACAGCCTCATTTGCATGCTCACCCTGCTCAGAGCTCTCTTCGCCAAGAAAATGTAACAGTATTCGGATGCCTGACTCACGAGGTGCCCTTGAGCCTGGGGGATGATGCCGTGACCTGTTCCAAAGGTGGGGAGAGGAGTGGGGAAGAAGAGGGAGGCTGGGTGCCCTTGCAACACGGGGGTCCGCTCGGGTTCCCAGAAGTGGGTCCTGACTCCATGCTAACCACTCCTCCTCCTCTCTCTTGGACTCTTCTCCCTTTAGAGTCCCTGGCAGGGTTCCTTCTCTCAGTCAGCGTCACCTCCAGGGTGGCCAGGCTGCGAATCCCTTTCCCACAGACGGGGACCTGGTTCCTGACCCTCCGCTCTCTGTGCGGGGTGGGACCTCGGTGAGCAGCGTGGGGCCCAGTTGGGCTGGCCTGGGCTGGGGCAGCCCTGGCCTCAAATAACCAGGTGTGTGTTTGCTTGCAGCTTTGTGCGGTGCCGCAATGCAACGGCTGAAGTGCGGCTGCGCACCTTCCTCTCCCCATGTGTGGATGACTGTGGGCCCTATGGCCAGTGCAAGCTGCTTCGCACCCACAACTACCTGTACGCGGCCTGCGAGTGCAAGGCTGGTGAGCGGGCTGGGGTGGGGAGCAGGCCAGACTGACCGCTTCTTGGGCATCAGGGTGGCTAGCAAGGGTGCCCCGAGAAACTGGGTATGGGGATGGAGTGAGCACAATTGTCTGTTGAACCCACGGGTGCCTTCTGTCCTCCTCCACCTGGCCCCCTTCCCGCCTGCAGGGTGGCGGGGCTGGGGTTGCACAGACAGTGCGGATGCGCTGACCTATGGATTCCAGCTGCTGTCGACACTTCTCCTCTGCCTGAGCAACCTCATGTTTTTGCCACCTGTGGTCTTGGCCATTCGGAGCCGATACGTGCTGGAAGCTGCCGTCTACACCTTTACCATGTTCTTCTCCACGGTAAACAGGAGTGCCTCTGCCTCACCGTTGTTGTTTTACCACGGGCTAGGGAGAGGAACTACATTTCTGTCACAACCCCTTCCCAGTCTGGGGATGATGGTACTTTCACAGTGTCCTGTAGAGCTGTGCCCCACCCCTGTGAAGTGTAAAAGTGGCTGTTTTTGTCAGGCACCGTGTGCGTTAACTTACACACTCTGCCCACATCAAAGGTAGAAGAGATATTGGCTGAACACACTGAATGAAGCTGGCTTGAATGTGGGCTTGTGTCCACCTTCACCTTTTCTCTGGAGCCATCATGGAGTCGTTCTTCACTTTCACCGTGTGAGGCTCCTCTGTTCACTGGTCTTTCCAGCCATCTCACCTCACTCTTTTTTCTTTCTTTCTTCCCTCCTTCCTTCCTTCCTTCCTTCCTTCCTTCCTTCCTTCCTTCCTTCCTCTCTCTCTCTTTCTCTCTCTCTTTTTCTCTCTTTCTCTCTCTCTCTCTTTCTTTCTCTCTCTCTCTCTTTCTTTCTTTTTTCTTATTTTTTTGAGATGGAGTTTTAATCTATAGACCAGCTTGGCCTAAACTCCCCACATAGCCCAGGCTGGCCTCAAACCTTCTGAGCTAAGATTACAGACATGTTCCATTGATTTCTGTCTGTAGCATATTCATTTTTATGACATAAAAGCATGTGTGCCCCACCGTCTTTCAGTCACCCTGGCCTTATTGATTTCCATGAGATCTTTTGAATGCAGAGGGGCTTTTATTTTGGGCAGTTTATCAAAAATCTAAAGAATCTGGAGAAACTTCATCCTGAGGCATCATGGGAAATGGTAATGTGATGTAAAATTCTAGTTTAAAGGAATTCATTCTGATGTAGATTTATAGGAGGTTTTGTTTGCCTCTCTGTTTTGAAACAAGGTATCACTGTACAGCCCTGGCTGGCCTGGAACTCTATGTGAACCAGGCTACTCTCAAGCTCACAGAGATACATCTGACTGACTCTGAGTACTGAGATTAAAGATATTCACCACTACACTCAGCTATATTTATAGTTTGGGTCTCCCTGTTCCTATTCTGGACTCTTCGAAGTGTCTTCTCTGAGATTTCCAACTTAGGCAAGGCAGAAGTGCATCTCTTCTATTAGGAGCCACCCCTAATAGGTTTGCTCCCTACCAAGGTCCGACATCTGCATATCTTTTCATGTCATCTGAAGCTTCTTGGCAAATTGTGACATGCGAGGCCTTCCTGTGAGCACTGCCAAAATCTTAGATGGCTTTGGTTTCTGTGAGTTTTGGTAACAAGGCTATCACAAAAGACCATGTCTGTGCAATATTCAGTAAGGAAAAGCATGCCACTGAGCCTGAGGATCCGAGCTCACTCTCACGACTGTCTGTGAGTGCGAACACACACACACACTATAAAGTGTGATTACAAAGCTGCATATCACAGAGGTCAGTATTCATTTTCATGGTATCCAGATCACAGAAATGTTTCAAGGCCTAGGCGAAGGTAGTAGGCCTATGTGTTCAAGCGGGGGTGGTGGGGTTTTCCTAGGTAATCAGCTACAGAGGAGGCTATAGCCAGGCTACCGATGGGACCAGTGCCCCCCAGTCGACCTGGCTCCTTTTCAGCCTGGCCTGATAGAGTCTCTATTTTTACATTAGATGCTGCCAGGTGCCCTGTCTGCTGTCGCTCACGGAATCCTTTGCAAATCTGTTCTACCAGCCCACTCTTGGCTTCATGCAAGTTTTTCTTTTTTCTTGGTTTTTCAAGATAGGGTTTCTCTGTGTAGCCGAGGCTGTCCTGAACTCACTTTGTAGACCAGGCTGCCCTCAAACTCACAGAGATCCACCCGCCTCTGCTGGGATTCCTCTCCCGAGTGCTGGGATCATGAGCGTGCGCCACTGCACCCTGCTGGCTTCATGGAGGTCTAGAGTGACTCAGAATTAGTAAGAACAGCTTACTGTAGCAGGAGCTGTAAGAGAACATTCTTACTGCTTGAACTTTGCACAAGCATCTGTCCTGGAATCTTCTAGGCTGGATGCCTTTTCATTAGACACAAAGGCATATCAACCTGAAAAGAGCTTTCTCCTAGTAGGAACTGGAGGAGCCTCACTTCCTCTCACTCCACATACAGAACCCCCACTTTGCTTTTAAAGATTTATGTTTTACTTTGTATACATGAATGTTTGTGCACCATGCGCATGCAGTGCCCATGGAGGCCTGAAGAGGGCACTGAATCTTCTAAAACTGGAGTTACAGGAGGGTTTGAGTCATCTTGTGGCTGCTGGGAACTGTACTGGGGTCTTTTGCTAGAGCAGCCTGTACTCTTAACTGTCAAACTGTCTCTCCAGCCCCAACCCCCACTTTCTCAAAAAAGGTGGTGTGTGTGGCTTTAAGGTTCTTTAAGTTATGGACTGTAACTCTGCTCTTTTCCATGTGCTCAAAACACAGAGCTAGCGTCATCTAGTTTTCTGGGCACAGGGGTCCTATTGCCTTTTCTTTCCCTTTCTGAACTAAGAGTTCAGACTTATTTCATTTCACAAATGTGCCTGTTTAAGGACTCATGGACTACTTTGTAGTTGGCAGTACTAGGAGAGTAGGTAAGTGCCCTCCTTGTCTCAAGATCTAGGGAGTTTACTCCTGGAAGTGGCATGGTGGTGCTTATCTGGGTACAGGAGCAGGCAGCAAGTCTTAGATTAGGAATTTATAGATATAAAATATTCTCTTAAGAAAAAGGCCAGAAACATGGCACTTGATTCTTTAGCAATTCAGATAATGAGATCAGAAGCTGGCAGCGACAGAATCTGAACACAGAATAAAATGTCATATAACACTGCTAATTCTCATGATTGCACTAAAATAATAGGTGGACACCTTAATTCTTGTGCTCTGTAGATGAAGGGACGTTGACTGCATTGCCCAGTGGGGACAGTGATTGGTAGATTCTCACTCAGCCAGGCCCCACTCACCTACATCATGCCCATGTCACAGGACACTGGACATGGGTTCATATCCTTCTCTGACTCCAGGAGGACATAGAGCAACACAAGATTTAAGTGTAACGCTTCAGGCTATGTTTTTCCAATAGCACCCCCCCCCATGTTTTCCTCCTCTTCTCCCTATTTCCCTTCTTTCCTTTCTTCCCCCAGAAAGTGAATACATACTCTACCACTGAGTCATGTCCTGAACCTCTCAAAACTCTTAAAAGATAAGAGCCGCTTAGGAAAATCTAACCAAATTAAAATAAACAAAATGAACATTGCAGTACTTTAGCTGCACAGTCCAAGCCACAAACCTTTACTGCTACCCGAGTTCTGGGGTCACATCTGCAAAAGCCCAGGTAGAGCCCACGTCTAAAATTGTAAAATTCTACAATTAAGTTAACTTTTCCCAGACTGCCGTATGTGTAGTGTCCAAAGTTAAGATGTAGTTAGTACAAATTAGGATGATATCAGCAGAACACGACTGCAGTCCTTCGTAACACCCCTCCACAGTCCTGCTGCTCTGTGTCTTCCCTCCTCTGATTCATCACAAGACCCCCCTTCCTGAGTCTGTTAAGCTTTCCTCTCTGTGTGCCCCAAAGGCAGGTGCAAGACAGTGATTAAGCCTGGAATATAAAATTAATGCTTGAAAAGCAAACCCAAGTCAGAAACCATTGTCTGATAGCTTATTTAGTGGCTCATAGTTTTTACATCTGATTTTGAAAGAGGAGACTAGCCAAATAGCCAGCACTCAGGATGCCAAGACAGAAGGATTGCTGCACATCTGAGGTCAGCTTGAGCTGCCAACGAAGTTCTAGGCTTACCAGAGCAACAGAGTCTGAAACAGAGTCACACCCTGTTTCAGAATGGGTCAGGGGACAATTAATGTCCAATGAATCCATATTCAAATGTTGCTTCTTCATGGTTTAGGAGAGGGGCCATGTCCCTTTATCACATGGTGTCCTGGTATGAGTACCGTACTGCTGTCCATGGCCATAGTGCCACTCTTTATGGCCACACCATGCCCGCTGTTTATGGTCACAGGCACTGCCTTTTTTTCTTCCTGAGCTTCCTGCCCTGTTGGCATTGGGGTGGGGGTGTTGAAGTGGGTCTGATGAGATAAGTTATGAGAGTGAAGCCTAGTTCAGAGCCTGAGTTGCCTAAGAAACCAGACCCAGATGCTATTTAGGCCTGAGATGAGATTGTAGATGAGACTCAGTAAGCATGAGGGTAATGATAGCTCCGCCCTGAGCCCTGGCTGGGTTCTCTATGTAGCGTATCCCAAAAGCAGGGAGAAGATGTGAAGGACCAGCGTCTGAGCTGCAGAAAGGCACACCTCACTGCCATATTGTTCTCAAGAGTAAGTAAGTCAGGGCTGGAGAGATGGTTAAGAGAACTGGCTGCTCTTATTCCCACAACCTCTTGGTGCCTCCCAACCGTCTGCAACTCCAGTTCCAGTGGATTGTATGTCCTTTTTGTGTTCCTTTGTGGGGACTGCATGCATGTGGTACAGGCAAAACATCCATACACAAATCTAAAAAAGAGAAGAGAGTAAAGGGATCAGGCATTTCCTAGTATTGCTTACCTGTGACCTCTGACCTCTGGCTCTCTACAGAGAAGTAGCCCCCATGGGGTCTTTCTTTGGTTTCATGGCCCTGGACTTGTGGTCTCAAGGCCTTTTAACACCTGCTGTTCCTTCTTGCAGTTCTATCATGCCTGTGACCAGCCGGGCATTGTGGTTTTCTGCATCATGGACTACGACGTGCTTCAGTTCTGTGATTTCCTGGGCTCCTTAATGTCGGTATGGGTCACCGTCATTGCCATGGCTCGTCTGCAGCCTGTGATCAAGCAGGTCAGTCCAGAGTGGGTCCTGGGAGACAAGCATGGCTAACCTATTATTAATTCACTCATGCGTGAGGCTTTTCCAAGCGCTGTCGTGCCCCGGCCCAGCCCTGGAGTCCTCTCTCTGTAGGCGCTGTATTTGCTGGGGGCCATGCTGCTGGCCATGGCCCTGCAGCTTGACCGGCATGGACTTTGGAACCTGCTTGGACCCAGCCTCTTTGCCCTCGGGATCTTGGCCACAGCTTGGGTAAGAGTGGAAAGACCTGTAAACAAAGGAGCGGGAGTGAATACAGGGTGCTGGTTATTTGGTCCCTAATTTAAGGTAGCCTTGCATTCCATCATCATCAACAGCCACAGAGGCCACTCAAGTCCTGGTGGGTGCTTCCTAGGTTATACCCAGGGCTCAGGGAAGTCTGAAATGTCTCTGGCTTGGATTCCGGAGCCCTGTATTCCTGAATCCTACTTCTTTGCTTCCCTCAGACAGTTCGCAGCGTCCGGCGCCGACACTGTTACCCACCAACATGGCGCCGCTGGCTCTTCTACCTGTGCCCGGGCAGCCTTATTGCTGGCAGTGCTGTCCTACTGTACGCTTTCGTGGAGACCCGGGACAACTACTTCTACATTCATAGCATTTGGCATATGCTTATTGCTGGCAGTGTGGGCTTCTTGCTGCCTCCTCGCGCCAAGACTGACCGTCAGGTCCCATCTGGAGCCCGGGCCCGGGGCTGCGGTTACCAGCTGTGTATCAACGAACAGGAGGAGTTGGGCCTCGTGGGCCCAGGAGGGCCCACTGTCAGCAGCATCTGTGCTAGCTGAGAGGGGCTCTGGGCCAGGCTCGTAGGGATGTGAACCCTAGCTAGGGTTCCTCCTGGAGCTGTGGAGCCCTCCTAGGACCAAGGGACAAGTTGTGCTTCTTAAAGACATGCAGTCTTTCTCAAGGATGACTGTTTTCAGGGACGGGAGGCTTTCTCAAGACATGGAGGATTTCTTGAGAGCCTAGAATCCTCCTGTGTTTATGGAGTCCTTCTTAAGGATGAGCTATGCAGGCCACTGAGCCCCATGAGGACCAAGGAGTCCCTAGGGGTGTAGAGCCCTTCCCAGGGATAGGGGGCCTCCTACAGACATGAGATACTTCCCAAGGAGACACATTTTCACCAGGAATGTGTTATCGGTGCAGAGGGAGAAAGGAGTCCATCTTGTAGACACAGCCAGCAGATTTTCGCAGTGGCTCAGCAACACTGGTCTTGAGCTGCTGTGCTGGGCAGAAAGGCAAGAGAGGTCGATGCTGGTGTCCTGATTTGGTATAGGTGGAGTCTGGTATGTCTCCAATGAAGTATGTACTGATCTGTGCTGCCTTTTTGCCCCTTGTGGGGTCAGGGTATGGGAATGGAGGGAAAGAGGGGCGGTGGGGAAATTGTGGGAGTGATGGGGCCTCCCTGAAGAAGCTGCTGGAAGCTGCTGTCTGGCTTCTGCCCTGTGGTTCGCACACCTGCATTCCTCTCAATCTGGTCCCCATGTTTAATTCCAAATGTCTGTAGTGGTGAAGAGGGTTGTGTGCGTGTGTGCGCGCGTGCGTGCGTGTGCTTGCTATGTATATATAGAGACAGACCTGCCCCGTGAGGCCTACACCCACACAGAAGGAAGCTAAAGTGCTAGGAAATTGGAGTAACAGGCACAAATCTCAGCTGTACAAGAATGGATTACTATTTTAAGCTTCCATTTTTCTCACATGCCAGAAATAATCTTGTATGAATTGATATTTCCTTTCTTGTAGTATGTGTGATTGTGAGAGAGAGAGAGAGACAGGCAGAGAGGAGAGAGGAGTCTTTCGTTGTGTATATAGTTTGTTTTCTTCTGGCCTGGATCCCCTGATTCTCTGGGGCCTGGAATTACAGGCATGGGCACCATCCTTGGCAGCTGGGCTTCTTTTCCCGTAGGTTTCCCATGAGTTTTGAGGATCTTGTCTTACGCTGAGATACTAGAACACTCTTTCTGGCCCCCAGTGTCCGTCTGAGTGCTCAGACATCCCAGCTGGTTCCCAATCAGTGGTCAGACAGGCAGCTAAACACTGAGAGGCGTCTTGTTCTGTCTGCCTAGCCCCGAGTTTCTGTCCCCAAGTTTTGTGCCACATGAGATGTTCTCACTTGGCTACCAAGATACAGCATGAAGCCAGGCTTCTGGGGTCCCATGCTGGGCTTTACTTGATAGGGCAAAAGATGATTTGTTTTCTCATTTAAACTCTGTAGACGCAGCCAGGGGCCCAGGTCTGGTCTCTTTAGGGAACCTTGGATAGTGCTCACACTTCCTTTAGGGAACCTGGGACAGTGCTCACACTTCTTCCTTCCTCCTCACCCCTCTCGCCTGTCAATCTGGAGAAGAAGATAGCCTCACATTTCTACCAAATCTTTTCTCTGTGCCTTAAGTCCTTTCTATTCTCTTCACAGCCCAGGTCTTTGAAGCTCAAAGCCTAGAAAATACCACTTTATTCTTTACTCTCTGCAATCATATCTCTTCCCTGGGGCACTGAGTACAGAATAAAGTAGCTGACTGAGTGGCCAGGAGTGAAGGTGTATGGGCTGGGTGTCCGTTCCTGTATCAGAAGTGCTTTTCTTGGGCCAGGTATGGTGGTGCATGCCTTTAATCCCAGCATTCTGGGGGCAAGAGCTGGTGAGTTAACATGAGTTAAAGCCAGCCAAGGTTACATAGACCCTCTCTTAAATAAAATAAAATTAAGTAAAATAAAATGACTGGAGAAATGGCTCAGCGGCTAAGAGCATGCATTGCTCTTCCAGAGGACCTGAGTTCAATTTCCTGCATAGTTACAGGCTATGATGCCTGGAACTACTGTTCCAGAGGAGGCAACAGCTCTAGACTCCATGGGCACCTCTCCACACACGCGGCACACGCGTATACAGACACAAACACGCATACACATGGTTAAAAAAAATAGAGATGCTATCCTTACCTTATCTATGACCATACCACCCCAGCACATCTGTGCTTGCTGGTCTGGAAGCTAAGCAGGGCTGAGGCTACTCAGTGCCTGGATGGGAGATAAGCCAGTCTCACCCTGAGACAGATGGAACCGCTCGTGAGGGCAGTTGACCCAATAGCCAGGGCTCAGGACTGACTTGACAAGAGGATAGAAGGCAATGAAGAGGGAAGGGAATGGGGACACACCCTACTCTGTTGGGCTGGAACGAACTTCTGGTGAAGGGCATCTTTAGAGAATTAAATGAGTTGCCATAATGCCAACATGTTGGGAAAGATTCTTTATGGTAATGAGTACCCATCTTTTCTTCCTTTCCAAGACAATCATTCCCACTGGTTCCCAGTCACTGACATACTTAGGTCATGTAGTGCCCAGCCTATTGCACACACAGCAGACAAAGGTCATGGCAGGTTTGGAAAGGGTTTCCATTTTGGGGAGAGAGGGAGGGAGGAAAGACTGATATTTAGGGACCTGTAAAGAGTGAGGTAGGGCTGGAGAAATTGGGTGGTAGGAGGAGATGGGGGAGGGAAAAGGGAGAGAAAAGACAGAAGAGGGGAGAAGGTGGGGGGAGAGGTGGGGTGATGAAGGTAAGCAGCTAATGATGGCATAGATGGAGGTGGACTCTGGGAAAAGGGAGGTGAGCAGGAGAGTAGCATGGACAACTGGTGCTTTGATGGTTGGTGTGAAGGATGTGTTTCAGGGAGGAGCGTGCAGTGCCACAGCTCCAGTCTGAAAGGGAAGTGCAAGGAGGACACTGGTTTAAGAGCTGCAGGAGGCAGGCGGCAGACTTGGCACCGATGGCGTGTGTGGTGGGGCGGGGAAGTCCAGAACGGCCAGTCTCTTTTTGACTTGGATTGTGGCACCAGCCCCTGAAGTACTGACACTTGTGACGGGGGATGATGCGAACTTTGGAACATTTTGAATAGAGGTGTTTGTGGGGGGCGGCTAGCAAGAAGACAGGACCGTGTGAAGCAGCTGAACCAGGCCTGGAGCCCTTAGCTATCACTGGGGTCATCTGGGATGCAGCAAGCCTTGGGCATGGGGGCTGTGCCCAGTACTGATGGCTGCTTCCTTGTATGTGTCTGTACACACAAGCACCCTGGGTCCCTGCCCACCCTGGGTCCCCGCCCACTCACCTCCCACACTGCTGAGTATAACATTGGCTCAGTGTTGCCGGGTGGTGACATGACAACTCCCTTGTGAGGGTTCAACAATCTTGAAAGGAAACCGCCGTTAGCGCCACAGGGATGTGTTGGACCTGGTGGCATCTTGTCCCAAAGGAGCACTCATCCCAGATGAAGGGTCCCAACATAGTGCCATAGTATATATAAAGAAGACAACCTCAAAGTGTGTCAAATATGTGAGGGAGACATTGTCTGAAACGGCCTGAAAACGACGTTGGTGTGATCCATGAATAGCATGAGCAAAGCCCCGGGGGCAGGAGCAAGTACAATGATGTAAGTAGAGCTCCGTCCACATAGGGGAGGGGAGTCAGCCCGTGGGAGCAGGTGGGCAGACGCCTGAGGGCCTTGAGGACTCAGCCAGAGTCCTTTAGAGCTAATGATTTGATAGTGGGAAGCCAGAAAACTGACCAAGGAGTTTATTGTAGGGATCACGGGTAGTTAACACATTAGACAACCCAAAGAACACTGAAGTATGCCGACGTTGCGTTAAAGGGGGGAAACAAAGCACTTTCTCTGGATTTAAAATTTATTTTTTTGAGAAAGGGTCTCACTGTGTAGCCCTGGTTGGCCTGGAACTCACTATGTAGACCAGGTTGACCCCAAATCCATGAAGATCTACCTGTCTCTTCTTCCTGAGTGCTGGGATTAAAGGAATGTACCACCATGCTCTACTTTCTTGGATTAATTTGACCAACAATGAGACAAAATTTGAAATCTTCACGTGTCTTCTTGTGTCTTCTGTCTGTAGTTTGTGATTTGGCCTGTCTGTAGTTTGTCTATTTGTGTGTGTTGGTGTCTGATGTCTGACTGTCCTTGTTATCTGTTTTGTGTCTGAATGTGTGCCTGTCCCTGTGTCTCTTAGGATGTCCTGTGTTTATCTAAAACAAAACAAAACAAAACAAAACAAAACAAAACAAAAAAACAAAACAAAAACTGGCTTTGAACTGTTTGCATAGGACAAATTGCTTAGGACAGAAATGAGGAATTCTTACCAAAAGCTTAAACAGTTTTAAAAAGCAACTTTCCTGCCCCTCTACCTACCCAAGATAAATAAACAAAACCACACAGATGTTATCAACCTTTACCTGAATGTTGCTGTCAACATTTATGGCAAGCATTTGTTTTAAAGTTGCTTCCAACTTGCTGTTTTCAGCAAATGATTACCACACACATATCCTGGATCAAGGTCATGGACAAACACATAAGGTTAAAGCAGACTGCATGGGGAATCCAGCACCTAGTAAGACTGGTTACATTATTCTCAAAGCCAGGTTAAACTCAAGCTGAGTGCACAGTAGGACAGCAGGTTAAACACAAGGTCTTAAATAATCTCAGGGATATTATTTACTATGAAGTCTGCCAATAGTTCAGTGTTTTGGGGGGACAAGGTATTTTTATAAGACTGTATCAGTACAAAACTTATACAATCATGGGAGCTGTTAAATCCATGCAAGCTGGAATCTTAGCATTTGGTGCTGGGGCTGAAGCTTCTACAGGCCTGATGGGCTGGCAGTTAGGACAAGGCTGTGAGGGAAGGAGAGTAAAGGTAGCTTGGAGTTGAGGAGACAAATGAAAACTGTGTCCAGCCACCAGTGTCTTCAGGCTTAATGATGGACCCGGTGTTCAGAAGTAGGCACCTTTTGACAAATTGCTGCACTTGGCCTGAGAACAGCTCAGGGAGGGGATCTAGCTAGGGCAAGAAGGGCTGCTGACGAGGACTCAGCATGGCGGTGCTGCAGGGCCGGGCATTGCTCACGTTGGCTTCCAAGTTTCTGTGTGTGTCTCTAATGGGCACCTCCTAACCAAACCCGTGCAAAGAGGAAACTGCAGGAAGCAGGCTGCTAGCCTAGTTTGCCTGTCCTGGTGCAGAGCTGCCATTAGCAAGCTGACAGGAATGTTGCTGGATAATGACCCGGTGTGGGTCTGAGGAGGAGAGAGCAGGGCAAAAGAAACCAAGTCTCTACTTCCTGTTGGGCTGACCGCCAGCCTAGTGTGTTGGTCACTAGGTCTCAGACATCTCTGAGTCATCCCTTTTTTCCAGGCATGTGCCAGACTGAGCTTCTCTGAACCATTCTGTTAGACGTGGCTGTCTCACTGTTGGCCAGTGAGACAGGCAGCCTGTGCCACTTCCGAGTGGAAGCTGTGAGAGTCTGGGCCTGCTTCCTTCTCTCCCTTGGCCATGGGGATCCGCAGCGTTCTGGATTGTAAGTACGTTATCCCGATTCCCCACAGGGTGAGGCACGGCAGAGCCCAGCCAAGATCTAATAGACCGAAACATGAGTGAGAAACAGACCTTAATGGTTTTTAAGCCACTGAAAATTTGAAGTCATTACCACACCAGAACTTTGCCTCTGCTGACTGACAAAGACAGAGGATAAGAGTTAAAAGTGGGACATTTCCCTGGTGAGTAGAGCTCCCCTCACCAGGGCTGCGGCAGCAGCCTTCACCTCCGTGTTCCTCAGACTATGGATGAAGGAGTTTAGTGAGGTGCTACAATCCCATAGAATAATGTGACAATCTTATCCACGCTGGGGTCTTTGTTTTTGGGCTTGAGATACATGAAGGAGATGGTTCCATAGAAAATCACCACCACTGTGAGGTGGGCAGAGCAGGTGGAGAAAGCTTTGGTCCTGCCTGCGGCAGAGGGTTCCCTAAAAATGGTAGCCAGGATGAAAATGTAAGAGAAGCATATGAGCACAAGTGGGGTCATTGTCAGGACAGTTGTGGCCACCATTAATATCAGGGCATTGAGGGAGATGTCCCCACAGGCCAGTTTCAGAACTGCCAAGATCTCACGGAAGAAATGGTTGATGACATTATGACCACAGAAAGGGAGGCGCCAGGTAAGGATGGATTGTAGCAGTGAGTTGGCAAAGCCTGTTCCCCAACTTATTACTGCCATCTGCATGCATAGCTGCCCAGTCATGAGCTCTGAGTAGCGAAGTGGCTGGCAGATAGCCACATACCGGTCATAGGCCATCACAGCCAGAAGCAGGCACTCTGTAGCACCTAGTGCCAGGGTCATGTACATCTGCAGAGCACAGCTGGGGAAGGAGATGGTCCTTTGGACATCCAGGAAGTTGTGTAGCATCAGAGGTGTGAAGGAAGAGGTGCCACAGATGTCTATGAGTGAGAGGTTGCTGAGAAAGAAGTACATGGGGTTGTGCAGGTGGGGGTCCAGCATGATCAGCCCCAGAAGGAAGGCGTTCCCCAGGAGAGTAGCACAGTAGATGCCCAGGCAGAACACAAACAGCGCTGTCTCCAGGCCACGGTGCCCCCGGAGGCCCAGCAGGACATACTCGGTCACAGCTGTGTGGTTTGTCCCATCCATTGCATTCCGTCTTTTGCCACTTGGACCACACAGCTCTGGCTGGATGGAAAAGGAGCAGGTCGGGTGTGGGACCTGCATCGGGTCAGCCTCTCTCTCGGGAATTTAATTCCACCATCTGTGTAATGAGAGAGTTGGGCTTAGGACTATAGCTTGCCCTCTTGGCCTCCAGTTCTATTGACATAGCCAGGGGAGAATGCGGCACATTCTGGCCCCTAAATGCCTCACTGTTCTCCACAGTGGTGCTCAGAGGACACTCGTGTTTGACGTCTTCTTTAGAAATATAAAGTTGTTTTATTTATTTATTGAGATAGGGTCTCCCTACATAACCCAGGCTGGCCTCTAAGTCTCCACCCTCCTGAGTACTGGTGTCACAGGTGAGTGCCGTCACACCCAACTTGCCAAGTGTCCTTGACTGTTCAAAGGACACCCTTTTCTAGATTATTGCTTCACATGATATTGGTGTCTAAAGCATTTCAGCTTCATCCACCCACTGGGTATTCACTGAGTACCTACTTTGTGTATTGTTTCAGGTGCCAGTGCTCCAAAAGAAAAAGAAGGGGGGGTGTGTGTGGATTTTTACACTTGTCATAGTTACTGCCTGAGCCAAGAGGAGCCCTGGCAGGCGCTCGATGGACATGCCACCCAGCATGGGGTACTTTGGCTCCCCAGGATGTGCAAATCTGAGTGCTGGTCTGGGTGGTAACAAGGTAGCTTAGGGGGCTTCTATCTGACCAGCCCTGTGTCCCGTGCCAATTGTTTTAATCATTCCTCTCTGAGCTACTTCCCATCCAATACCCCATAAATATGTGCAGATGCTTTCTATGTAGTCTGTTTCTCCCCACGCTAATACAGAATAAATTCCTCCTGCCACTCGGTACTCTCCACGCTAACACAAGGCGGTACCGCTTCCTCCTCCTCTCTCTGCTCCTCTCTCTCCTTCCCATGATTCTCCTCCCAGAGCCCTTGAACCTTAGCTCCTCCTCTCACTTCTGCCCTGCCCAGGTGTGTAGGCCTTTTATTTAGCCAATTAGGGACAATTTTGGAGGCAAGGTTACATTGCATTACTTGGGGTATGATAGTCTGCAAGTAGAACTTGGGGAGCAAAATAATAAAAAATTAATCACAAAGCACCAGAGCATGCTCTTACAAGCAGTTGCAGGACAGTCTCCACTCTAAAGGGGGAAATACAAGAGCATGCATGCTCAGGAGAGCTGCTGCTGGTCAGGGGGTTAAACCTGAAAGCCTGGGAGCCCGCGAGCCTGTGCTAAGTGCTGTGGAAACAGCAGAGCCGGCAGTGGCTTCTGCTTCCTGAAGTTTAAAACCACTCACCCTCTCGCTTTCAGCGACCTTGGACACACCCTTCCTCTCCCGGGGCTGTAGGCCCCTGAGTCTCTCAAGAAGTCAAATCTGAGCTCTGAAGACACTACCTAGCTTAGTCATTGTGTGTGGTCACAAAGAGATCCTGTTCAGCTCTGACAGTTGTAGGTCAGGTGAAAGGCATTCGTCTGCCTCGGCTCCGTTCTTCAGTACTCTGTCACAGGAGACCAAGTGGGAACAGCAGAGGCATTTGAGGCTTTTGTGAACAGACTCTGCTCTTCTCTCCTACCTCATGTGAATGGCATCTCTTCTACACACTTCCTTCAGTTCTGTTGGGGCACTTCCCTCATCAAAATCCCCACAATCCAGGCTCATTCCTCTTGCTGTGAGAGGTCCTTGGGCTGGACGGCCATTTCTCATCCACACCTCAAGGCTCAGCGTGCGCTCCCTCTCTGTGTGGCTGCCTTCTGTGACTCTGGCCCTCCTGCTAACAGTATCTCACCTGGCTGTTGGCAGACGTATTTACTTCATTGTGTTATGGGTCCCCCTCTATCCTTTCCCTTCTCTCCCCTCCCCCCGCCCTTTTGAGTAGACTATTGAATAGTGAGTTACTGAAGTGAAAGGGATACATCTAGTTTGTCACTGTTATCCTCCTGTGTCTTGTTCCCCAAATGGCCAGAGATGGCCATTCCAGCTGAACTGTGTGTGGCTGTGAGCGGCAGCTGCCACTCTGCCCCATATACCGAGCTCTAACATGAGCACATCTCCCCCGCCACCAGAAAGGTGATATCGAGATTGCCTGAAGAAGCTGTTGGGGAAGGGCAGTGTTCTGCCTTGAGGACACTTGCCTTTTCTGGGGAGCCACATCAGGAGCATTGTGTGCTTCACCACAGCTTTAGGGTCTGCTCATGACACATTAGGGTATGAGAACTAATCCAATCTATGTGGAGAAAGTGCCATGATGCCAGGCAACCAGCAGCTTTGACTCACAACTTGGGCACATGATGGGACACCAGGGAGCATCAGTCAGGATGTGCTTGGCTATGCTGCAGTAACACACAACCTCATCATTTTAGCTATCAACCCAACAAACATGTCTTTCTTAATGCAAACATACTGTGGATTCCAGAGGACTCTCTTTAGAGACTGGCCAAAGGGGGTCTCTGCCACTTAGGATATCACCAGTCATGGCTAGGGAAGGACACACTGGAACATCCCCACCAGCATTTAAGTGCTCAGACCCAGAAGTGACACACGGCACATCTACCCACAAACCACCGGACACATGTTCAGAAGAGAGACACCCAGCAAGCTTACTGCACGCCAGCACTGCGTTTGGGCACCTTGCCATCTCACCGTGCACTCAAATCTATTCCCAAACAGGCATGGTACTGTATGCCTAGATTACCGCAAAGGAGACTGAGGCATGAGAACCGAGGTTTGAAGTCGGCTTGGTCTGCATGGAGAGTACCAGGACAGATTTTTTTTAAAAAGTGACTCTAGCATCTGTTTAGATGTCACACACTGCTATGTCCCAGAAAAACACCATATTCAAGCGGCTATGAGGCTCCGTGTGTCTCCCAGAATGTCTCTGCTTTCCTCATGGAGGCAGAAGAAAGTGTGGTGGAGCCCTGGGATGGGAGGAAAGAGACTTGGGTTAGACTTCTGGCTTTTGTTCTTGTTCTGCTGTGTGACCTTGGCCAAGTTCCTCCAACTCAGCAATGGAGCCAGTTCACCATGCTCAGTTTACTAAAAGCTTTTGAGCCTCAGTTTCCTTACCTGTCACAGGTAGATGGTAGTGCTTCTTTGGAAATGGTGACATTTTAGGAATGCAGTGGGGGTGCAGGATAGCTGTTAGTATAGCGACTGGCTTGTGGTAAATATTCAGTCAGTGTGGATATTATTGTCATATAATAAGTACTTCGGCTTTTAAATATTTTGAAGAAGAAGAGTTACTGAGAATAGCGCACCAGATGAATGCTCCTTCCCACAGACTTGCTGAGCCAGTGAGGATCTGGAGCCATGCCAGCTGTCTGAAGATCTCGGAGCCTCGGGGGGTGGGTAGTCCCGAGCTCATAACCAGCAGGTGCAAGGTGCTAAGGTGGGTCAGGCTGAAGTCCCCAAGGATCAGTGTCCATGTCTCCTGTCACACAGCCCGCCTGCTCCCTTTTCAGGGACCACATACTCCCTGCCCAATTTAAAGTTAAACTCTGTAAGCTCACAAACTTTTAGGTTTGCCAGCTGAGGGACTTGGGCCCGTGGGACCCCAGATTCCTTGCTCTATCCTAGGAGATCCTGGCTGATGTGAGGTGGGCAGGGACAGTGAAGGCTGGGCCTTCTGTAACCTTGCTCCTTGTATGCCACAGGCTCTGGAGCAGGAGTGGTCCTTTTCTAGGCCTGGGTACCTCCACAGGAAAATGAATTATCTCCTTCCGTAATTGCTGCGTGGTCTTGGATCTGTCCATCCAACTTTGAGGAAGGCTATTTACTGGGAGGAGTATGAGGACCCCCACTCCCAAATGCATGTAAGGAAGGGTGGTTAGAGGCAAAGCTCAATTCAGGCACGTGAATTTTCACAGGTTTTCTCTTTCACCTTCCCTTCCTGGCCTTTTACAATAAAGATACCATTTACAATTTAAATACTAAAATGCAGTTGTAAATAAGACACAAGAATTTATAATTTTTCATACTATGCCATAATATACCTTCTGGAATTTTATCAGGAACTCAAGTTAAAGTAAAAAGTTATAGGATGGTTAGCTCTTATTTTCTGTCTGCCTCTGAGATGGTCTAGGCCCGTTTGCTACCTCGGGGGACACCTGAACCCAACAGGTCTGAGACTAGATCAGGGTCTCCTCAAGTCTGCACTTGTCTTCTGCTCCACAGCACATGGTGGTAGCATCTCTATCCACCAAAAAGATTCCCCGAAGCACTCAGTCTCCCGTTTCCTCTCCCAAACAGTGCAGGTAAACCACGCAGCCGACATGTCTCCTCCTCCCAGCTGCTGTACTCTTCGCGTCAACGTTCCAACTGTTTCTGTTCCGAACTCCCCATTTCCGCTCACACGGCCTGCAGCACCAGCCTCCTCCCTTCTGCTGCGCCAGAACCCTCCACTCCGAGGCAAGGAGGTCTCCCACGTCTTCACAAGCATACCATCATTTCCTAGGTCCAGTGTCATGTTTGTTTAGAAATATTGAATAATATTGAAAAGACCAAGAAAACAATACTTATCTATAACCTCATTGCCCAGAGAGGACACAACTATCGTCACAAATAATTAAAAAATAAGATTAGGGAGGATGGAATGTTTTTGTGATCTGCTTTTCTCCTCTCATTACTTACATTGTAATAATTTCCTTTCATCCAGTATTTCTCAAGAAATGTTTCCTGGTGTCTGTATTATATTACACCATTGCACTCCACCTGGATTTATTTAAGCATTATTTTCTAGTTGGATATCAAGATTGGTATATTATTGTACCATGGATTAATGTGTTTTGTGCCCTTACTGTGTAACTGTGCCCCTAATTGTTTTTCCTTGAGAAAGCATCTCATGTAGCCCAGGCTGATCTCAGACTTGCTATATGGTTGAGGAGTGCCTTTAACTTCTGATCTTTCTACCTCCATCTCCTGCTAAGGTCACATGCATGCCCCCTCACCGGCTGCAGCACTCAGCTGAGCAGGCTCTGCACCTCAGCTGGGCAGCCTCTGGGGCTGGCCCTGGTGGCAGGGAAGCAGGGCAAACGGCCCTGGGCAAGGGAGAGATGGCCTGCCCACCACCCCTTTCCCCTTACCACCTGTGGCAGCAGGAGAGCTGGCCCTGGGCCGTGGGAGCGGGAGAATTACCCCTGGCCCGCGCTGGCTGCAGCATTCTGGAGAGCAGCTCAGCTTGCCAGCTGCAGCATTGGGCCAGCCTGCCAGGGCAGCGATAGAGAGCACCTGGTGGTGTGGGTGCTGGAGCGCTGATGGGATGACCAACCCAGCCAGCACCCAGGCCCAGATCCACCGCCCAACATCAATCCTATTGATGAGCTACTGGAGTGGACGAAGGGGCAGGTCCTGCAGGTCCAAAGCTGCAAGATCTCCATGACACAGGGCAGCAACAGAATGTCTGAGAGGAGTCCCCAGAGGCCTCCAACCAGGCCAATGACTCACTGCAATGAACATTTGCAAGTAAAGGAGTGTGGGCAAAAGGGTGTACTGCATGACACAGTACAGCTTCCATGAGGAGACTTTTTCCAGATCCCCCGGACCTGGAGTTACAGACAGCGGTGAGCTGCCAGGTAGGTATGGATGGTCTGCAAGAGCAGTAAGTGCCCTAAACTGCTCATCTGTCCCTCACTTCTCAGTTCTCATCCTCACGCATTTCCTTTGTAAATGGAAGTGTAAGGTGTCTTTTTTAGATTTAGAGGAGAGAAGGGAGTACTAACACAGCTAACCTCAAGGCATGGGTGTTCGGGCCCTAAGTAAGCAGAGTTCTTGGTTGTTTTGAACATCCTGTTTGAGATGTCTTTAGGAAAACGGGTTCCGCCTCTGTAGGCGGTCTGGCTTTATCAGTTGTGTTGAAGTTTCTTGACTCTCGGCCAGTTGGATGTGAAAACTACATCCCAAGGGCAGCGGCTTCTGACCCTTGCCTTGCTCCTTAATTTCCTCTCTCTTTCTAGCCTTCCTCACTGAGAGTCCCGAGGGAGGAGCAGGCCCAGTGGGAAATGGAGGGGTTATGTGGGGTTGTGAGTCTGGTAGCCAGCTAGCAGGACTGCTGCTTGGAGATCTAACTCACTATGGTGCAGATGATGCCTGGCGCTGAGGCTGGGTGGGGACTGGATATGCTCTGTGACTCAGATAGGGAAACTGTGGGGAGACAGCTGTGGAGGGCCCAGGGGTGGGGTGATGAGTGACACAGCAAGCACCCCAAATCAGAGGAGGCAGGAACACCAGAAGCTGCAGCTTCTGTTGGATGGGGGCTGGAGAGGAACTCCAGCTTAAGGTTGCGCTGGGTGGCTGTTGTCCTATGACCAGACAGGCCTTGGACCTAACTTTTGCCTCTCATTTCATCTCCCAGAGGACTAGGCATTGTCTAACCTCTCTGGACTTCATCCCAGCTCTGTTCAGATTTGGGAAAGACTGTACTACCATGAGCGTCTCTACATTTTCATGTCCATGCATGTACTTCACAAACGAGTTCAGTTTATGAAGTAAACGAGTTGGGCCAGAGTAGGATGTGATGTCCCCTGCTCTTTGTATAGTATTGGAAGCCAAGGAAACGGGAGAGGACCAAATGGGTGTGATCCTGAAGGGGCAGGCAGTCCATCTGTCCATGTGGTGTGTGCTGGACAGAGCTGCCTCCTGGGGAGAACAGAGAGGAGCTTGGGGTGGGCACTGTGGGGAAGAGGGAGGCTCCCATTGTGCTGGTGTGTTGGGTATGAGGCAGGAAAGTGTGGAAGAAGGCTGGGAGCTAGGTAGGGCAGGTAGGCACCTTGGAGGCCCTGAAGAGTGTCTGCTTTGTCCTGAGAGCAGTGAGGAGCCATTATGGATGTGAGGAGTGTGGTGCAATCATGAGTGGTTCTTAAAAGGGTCCTCCTGATGCCCATTGAGGGGAGAGTTAAGTAGGCAATTCAAATGGCTGTTATCTAGTTGTTTATTTTTAGACTGGGTCTTACTACGACAGGCTGGCGTCAAATTTATCATCCTCTTGCCTCAGTTTCACAACTGCTAGTGTTATAGGTGTGAGCTGCTGCACTCTCTCTCTCCAAGGCTGGAGTCTTGAGATAGCCAAGAGGCTGCTGTGGAGGGCCGGGGGCAGAGGCTGGGCACTAGCCTGGGCTAGGACAGGGCAGGAGCAGAAGGTGGCTTGTGAGTGATTCTGTGCCATGGTTGGTGGGACTTGGTGCTGTGTCTCTGGAGTGTAGCTCCATGCTCCTCTCTGCACTGTCACTGGCATACGATGACCCACACAACAAGACAAGGCCCTTCTCCATGCAGAGCCCTGCCCTCCCTTACCTACAGGCCCATCTACTGCCCCAAGCTTTCCTGGCAGCCTCCTTCACTTCCTTGTTCCTCAGGCTGTAGATGATGGGGTTCAGCATGGGGGTCACCACCGCATAGAGGACTGTGAAGACCTGGTCAGAGACACAGGCCTCCTTGCTCTTGGGTTTCATGTACATGAAGATGATGGTGCTGTAGAAAAGCAGGACCACAGCCAGGTGCGCCGAGCAGGTGGAGAAAGCTTGCGGCGCCCAGTGGCTGAGGGCACCCTCAGGATGGTGGCCAGGATTAGTATGTAGGACAGGCAGATGAGGGACAGGGGTACAGGCAGCAGGAGGATGGCTCCCACCAGCAGGAAGGCATCGCTGATGGAGGTGTCCCCACAGGCCAGCTTCAGCACAGCCAGGATCTCGCAGGTGAAGTGTCTGATCACGTGGTGGCCACAGAAGGGCAGCCGCATGGCGATGACCGTTTCTGCAACTGACTTGAAGAGACAGAGCACCCAGGAGGCTCCTGCCAGCGTCAGGCAGAGCCTGTGGCTCATGAGCACAGGGTACCTGAGTGGCTGGCATATGGCCAGGTAGCGGTCATAGGCCATGATGGCGAGCAGCAGGCACTCTGTGGAGCCTGTGGAAAGGCTCAGGCACATTTGGATGGCACAGCCAATAAAGGAGATGGTCTTCCGGGGTGACAGGAGGTGGACCAGCATCAGGGGTATGAAAGTAGATGTGTAGCAGATGTCCAAAATGGAGAGATTACCTAGAAAAAAGTACATGGGCGTGTGCAGGCGGGCATCCAGCGCGCTCACCACCACGATGGCCGTGTTCCCCAGCAGGGTCACCAGGTACATAGCTGAGCACAGAGGAAAGAGTAGGTGTTCTAGGGCTGGGTAGCCAGAAAATCCCTTTAAGGTGAATTCCGAGACTGCTGTCCTGTTGCTGGGCTCCATACCGCAGGGGGGGAAGGACAGAGGGCGTAGGGTAGCGGGACTGCAGAAACTGTTGAGGACTGTTTCAGCGTGGACACACTTTCTGTGACACTGGGACAGTCGCCTCACCCTCTGCAGGCTTCAGTTCATCCATGTGAAAAAAGAGGATGATTTAGAGCAGTGTTTCCCTAAAAGAGTTCTTGGAAGTATAACTAGGCAGCCTGAAGAGTCACCGTAAGCCAGTGCTGAACGAAAAATAAAGGTCTATACTGCTTTAAAAGACTAATGTTTACTGTTATCTCTCCCAAAACAGTGTAGATATGTGCCCCCAAACTTGTCTGACCCTAGATCCCCTTTCACCTCTTAACCTATCACAGGCAAAGTGATCTATGAATAGAGTTCAGGAGCTGATAAGTTGGATCAGAGTTCCTCAACCTTGAACACACACTGGACTTACTTGGAGGGCTGTTGAAACACAGTTTGTTTTCCCCGAGCTTCTGACTCAGCGCGCCTGTGTGCTGCCATTGCTCTGCGGGCCCAGGCACCACACTTTAGATAGAATGCCTCTGAAGCTCCCCCTGGTTTGAGGCAGCCTCTGCGCCGCTGCCTAAGCTGTTCCCTCTATCTGAACTGCGCTTCTCCATTATCCCTCTTCAGGCCTGCTCTGGTCTCCACACACCCTATGCTTTGTGTCTTGGCAGAGGGGCACACTGCTGCTAGCCCCTAAGCCTGTGGGTGGACACGCCCCTCGCCCCACCACAGAGAGCAGCGTCTTGTGGGCTGCAGCTCTAGAAGTTGCTTTCTTTGCGAGCTCTCTAGTGACCAGTCAAGGGGCTCCGAGACCAGTCCCTGCTCTTATTTTCTCCCAGTCAGAACAAAGGATGCTTCAAGGTTATTACTACAGAAGCTCCCTCACAGGCTCATGCTGAGACCTCTTGTTGCAGATGGGAAAACTGAGCTCAGACAGTGGCTGCCAGGGAGGTGAGTTTCTAGTAGGGTCTTCCCAGAAGACTCTACACCTCATCATATGGAGCCAACACCGGCCTCCAGCAAGCCCCAAACACCTGCTGTCCTAGACAGGCAGCCTCCCGCTTCCTCTGCATAATCCTCTCACCAGAAAAAGAAAAACCACCACCACCATCAACAAAACAGGCTTTAACCCCTCCTCAGTGTCTCAGGGTACCCGAGATGATGACGGTAACATGGAACATAGTGCCAAAATCCAGCTCCTCTCTGCCTCTCCTGCTGGAGACTGCCCCCCATTTTGCTACTTGTTCAGTCTGACGTGACTTAGGGCCATCAGACACCATGCTGGGCATTAGGGGACAAGCGGGCACATGGGGCCTCCAGACAGTCTTCAAACCCTCCCAGGTAGAATTCTCCTCTCTTCCAGGCCTGGCCTCTTCCTCCTCTATCTGAATGTCTTAGGAGGTGTACAGACTTCTGACAAGGGGCCACTTGAAGGATCTCTCTGGACCTCTACACCTCGAGTGTCAGGGCTAGGTGACTGCGGTGGTATTCTTTCTCCTTACACAGTCCTAACGCGGAGTCCGGAGCTCAGTCCTACCCTGAGTCCCACTCTGGGGATCAGGGCCCACCTCTGCAGCAAGGAGAGCATTGATCTATTCCCAGGACCTCCAGAAGCTCTGGTCTCAGCAGGATGTGTCCCGGTCACCATGGGGTCAGGAGTATGAGCTGTTGGCTCCCCACCCAAACTCAGCAGGGGTTCTCTGAGGGTGGGGGGTTTGATGTGGGTATCTTGCTGGTGGTGGTGGTGCACACCTTTAATTCCAGCACTCGGGAGGCACAGGCAGACAGATCTCTGTGATTCCAGGCCAGCCTGGTCTACAGAGCAAGTTCCAGGACAGCCAGGGCTACACAGAGATACCCTGCCTCAAAAAGCCAAACAACCCCCCAAAAGAACAAAGACTGGTGGGGTGTCTCCTGTAGCAGAGCACCACCAGAGACAAACACTGTGCCAGAAGGGGGGCCAGGCACAGAGATGGCCCTACCTGCCTTTCCCCTGACACTCCAGTGACAGAGTAAGTCTCATGGCCACACACACTGCGGTCCACCCCTTCAGTCACCAGGAAACGTTGGCACCTGAGTCCACGGTGGTGGAGCGCGCGCACGCACGCGCACACACACACACACACACGAGGTCACTCCTTGTGCACAAATGTAGCTGAGGGCACAAGCACCTGTGAATGTTCATCCTGCACATAAGCTCATGTGGGCATGTGTGGCCATTCACATATTCATATGAATGTATGTGCATAGATCTGTCTGTCTGTCTGTCTGTCACACACACACACACATAGGACTGGCAGACTCTTGGACCTATGGACAAGTGAATTACTGAGCTAGGCAGGACGACCTAATTTGCAGAGGAGACCACAGCTTGGCAAAGGCTGCAGGGGCGTCGCTCAGAAGGAGCCCAGGCAAGCTGAGAAAGCTGGCTGCTGTGTGTCTGCTTCCCAGCCTGCTCGCCAGACACCGCTCGCTCTCTCGGGGGCTGCCCCTTCTCCTGCAGCTGGAGAAGGGAGGAGGGACACAGGCCAGGGAGCTTTGTTCTCAGAGCCACAGTGTCTTTTCTGTCTCCCAAGCCACTGCTCTCTAAAAACCCAGTTCACAAAGTAAGCCTTCCCTTACCTCTCAAGCCGGGCTCTTCCACAGCTTTCATGGTAGCTTTCGGCTGACACCCACCTCTCTCACTTCTTGTCGGCATGACAGGAATGTCATCTCCCTTCCTCTCCTCTACTGGTTCTGAAGGACAAGGTGTGGCCTTAGGTAACTTTTTGCTGTCTCCCTGCAACTCTAAGAAAAATGGAACGGCAACTGGCTAGTTACGGACCGTTGCGGCCTAGGGAGACACTCTTGCAGAACCTGCATATCGGCTGACACTTGGGGAAACTGAGGCCTAGAGATGGTCAGTAGCACAGTGAATTAAAGTTGGAAGCCAAGGCCCTGGTGACTCCCGGGGCTCTCCACACTCCTCTCTGCACGGCCCTGGTTCTCACCTGCCTTCCGTCTCCTCCCGATCTGTGTTCAGGTTCTCTCAAGAGGTTTCACTCCAGCCTGATTCTCCAAAACCGTGGAAATAGGCCTAGTTTTTTGTAGAATTCATGAAGAGTTTGCAACTTGGTAAAATTAAGTGGAACATTTAAAATTTGGCGGAATTCCTTTAAGAGCTGAGAACTCAGCGGGTTTCTCAGAGGCTGGTGCACTCCAGGCTGAACGGATCTCAGCGGCTTGCTGGGGGCAGGAGCGGCTCCCCGTGCTGGGCAATCTCAGTGCCCTCCTGGCCAACAGCCTTCCAGGGAGCAGTGGGCCGAACGGAGGCGTCACCATTCAAAGCGCCCTGTGTACCAAGGGATTGCACACTCCCCCAAGGCAGCTTAAAGAGAGGAGAGGAAATGTGCCCAGCTTACAAACTTTGAGGTGCTTCAGGGAAGGTGTCCCAAAGACCCAATTACACAGTCTAGTTAGAGAGTTTAATTAGTGTGAAAAAGTTGCAGAAGGTGACTCTGGGCGCAGGGCTCCATGCTTGCAGGTCAGTCCCCAGCCAGAATCGGCCTAGGAACACTTAGGAACAAGTCAACGACTGGGTAGACGCTTAATTAATGAATGAATACATAGCAATTTTAATATGTTTACAAATTAACCAAAGAACAAGTGGAAAAATGACAAATGTTGTTGCCTTCCAGGTAGGGGTGTGAGAGGTCTTGGTTCAACTCTTACCAGTTTACAGGTTTGCAAGTAGAAAGAATTCTAGGCTACTGAACAAGCCAGTGGGTAAAGACCATCTTGACCAAGACCCCCTATATGGACAAGAGACTACAGCAGAGAGGTCCACAGTGCTCTCCGTGTCACTTGGTGAGGCTGAGGCATGCGGTAGCTCTCTGTGTCACTTGTTGACTAATCACTTTGGTCTGCAGTCAGTGCAGAGCTAGGGCACTCTCCTCAGCCTCTACCTGATCCCTCTTCCCTGGACTCCCAGCTCTGATGATGCTTCCTCCCTGAAGCTCCCTCTAGCCTACAGAGGGCTTACCTCCAATGGCTTAGGGTCTCTAAAACAGCCCTAAGGTGTGTGGGAGGATGTAACTCAAAGATACCCCTCCTCTCATACACAGGCTTGATTCTCAGCCTCAGAGAACACCCCAGAAAACATAGCATCATTTTATTTTGGCTGTTGAATTTTTACTTAACCATTTAAAACTTACAGGAGCTAGGCATGCAGCTGAATCAGTAAGGCACTCGCCTAGGATGCGTAAAACCCTGGGTTACATCCCCAGAACCGTATTTACTTTTAGGCATGGTGGCACACACTTTGGAGGTGGAGGCGGGGGGGGGGAGGGGGGATCAGAAGTCCCAGGCTGCCCTGTGCTACATCATGATTTTAGAGTAAGGCTGGGTTACATGAGACCTTGTCTCAAAAAGAAGTAAAATGTAGTAATTTTATTAGTTTACTTATAAAGTTTACATTCTTGTAAACATTTTAATGAATCTGGTGGTACAGGCTCGTAATCCCAGCTATTCAGGAGGATCAAAAGTTCAGGGACCATCTCAACTACAGTTCAATGCCACCCTGGTGACTTAATGAGATTTTGTCTTAATATTACAGAGGTGGGAAAGGAGTTTTAGCTCAGTGGTGGACCTCCCGCCTGCTGTGCACAAGGCCAGGTTCAGTCTCTAGCAACGCAAGATAAGTAAACAATGAGTGAATAAACTAAATAAACATTCAAAGAATATAGAATCTTATAACGCAGAAGTGGTATTTACCCTTCAGCCCCCTCTCCAACCCACCCCTCTCTCAAATGTCATTCATTCGTTAAGGTATTCTTAAGTCTATTCCTCTTGGCAAGTTTTGCTTTTCTGAAACAGGGTCTTGGGTAACTCACCTGTCCTCTAACTTGCTGTGTAGCTGTGAATTTCAGCTCTGATGCTCTTTCCTCAACTTCCCACCTGCTAAGATGACAGACGCTCATTACAATGCCTGGCTTTTAGAGCCAAAATTTTAT